ATGTTTCCATCATCTAGATCGACTGTTGCCATCGTCTCCATCATCTCGATCGATTAAGGTATTTTTAGGGTTAATTTTTGATGTTTCCATCATCTCGATCGACTGTTACCATCCAGACCTGTTAATGTTTTTGTTTCCTTAAGGTATTTGCTTACACAATTGGGACTGCTGTTTGTCATTTTTGGGTTCTCATTTTTTGTTCTGAACAACCCATAGTTTAATCTTCAGGGGTAAATTGGTCATTTCTGTTATTCAGACGGTAGATTCAGATAGAAAAGTAAACAGCAACATAAATTTATCCAGACAGCCAAATTTATCCAGACAGACAAATTTATCCATACAGGACTTAATAGAAAATTTGGTAAACAGCCCCTGAGTCATGTGATTGATTGTGGATACTTTAAATAACCCTTTGAAAAACTAGCATTTATATTTTAATTACTTAATGTTCTACTATGTATATATATGTGCAGATATTGAGCAATGGTGTATGCAATAGCATCGAGCATAGAGCAATTGTAAATGCGACGAAAGAAAGGATGTCGTTAGCCATGTTTTTCAATCCGAAGATGGAAGCAGATGTTGGACCTTCGAAGGGCTTGTTAACCAGCACAAGAAACCCACCGCTGTATAAAACACTGGTAATGGAACAGTACCTTAAAGAATTCTTCTCACGTAAGCTCAATGGAAAGGCATTTCTCAAGAAAATGAAGATCAAAGACGAAGAAGGCTATGAAACTTAATAGATCTTAAATATTTGGAAGATCTTATATATTATTCAAGAAAAATAAATTGTGGGATGTATAAATTCAAGTAGTTTTTACTAGATTAATTTTGGAAATTGATGTCATGTTAATATATGTGTTTCTATATCACTACTGAGTCAGGTTAAAACGAGAGCAATAACTGAATAACAATAAGAGAACACAAAGACCGCCGAATCAAATATGATTTTGCACTAAAATCACATGTAAAATTACATGTGATTCACGTGACTTCTCCTCGACCCACGTCGCCCCTTCCCCCTTTCGTTGAACAAGTTCTATAACATTATGTAAAATCATACGTGATTCACATGTGATTTGAGGTTCTCTTATTTTGACCATATTCTTGACATGGCGACCCATTCAACAAGAGATGAACTTCAACATAAGCTCGTCCTACGACCTCTTTGAATGTCTTCATGGATTCATGTATTCATGTTGAGATAATTTAGTCTTTCTTTTTATTAGTTTACCCTAGATATATAAACTTGTTTTTTGAATATTCTCATATGCTTTAAGTTAGTGATCAATCTATAAAACCCTTGAAAACCTTTTCTCTCAACTCTCTAATTATATTATCGATCGAAGCCATTCAACTATAAACTCGATTCCTTGTCTGAAAAATTGCTGATAGTAGCCAGTGTTTTGCATCGCCTTCTGGCAATTGTGTGATAAAACCAAGCAAGTTTGCAGTAGACTCACAAACACTACAAAGAAAGAGCATGGCTTTAAATAGCCTTCAAAGACAAACAGAAAAGCATAAAACTAGGAACAAATTTCTACCGGCTAAAGAAACATTCAAAAAAACCAACTCCTAATAACAAGGCTGGAGGCCTACTATTTTGCAACGACTAACCTCAACAAATTCCTCCCCTTAAACTGAAATCCTTCAATCATCCAGTTTAACTTTCGGTGCCTGTACTCCAAGTAAACTTCTCAACTTAACAAATGTCTCCAACTTCATGGGCTTTGTCATTATGTCTGCAATCTGAGTTTCAGTTTCACAAAATACCAGCTTCACCACTTCTTGACTGACCAAATCCCTTAGATAGTGAAATCTTACCTCGATGTGTTTTTTCCTTCTGTGTATCACTAGATTTTTAGACAGTTTAATGATAGCACTATTGTCACAGAAAACTTTAATACTTCCACTTTGCTTTTCATCAAGATCTTCAAGTAGTCCCCTCAGGCAAACACAATGACATACACAAGAAGTTACAGCCACATACTCTGCCTCTGTTGATGACAAAATGACGATTGCCTGCTTTCTTGAGCTCCAATAGATAGTTTTGTTGCTTAACAGAAAAGTGTATCCCGATATTCCGTCTTGGATATTCTTCAGTATCCAAATCCTTCAGAGTATTCAACAAACGTCGGCAGACCATAGAAGAAACTATTCATGTCACCTTTGATGAATCTCAATCAGCTAATTCTAAACCCATCATTAATGATGACGAAGAATTAGAAAAATGGATGTTCTCTCATGTTGGACAACCTGAAGCTTCCTTCAGCAATCAACCTAATGCTGATACTCTAGATGTTGATGATGATCCACTTATCATTTCAGTTGCAACTAATAACCGAAGCAAATCTTCTTCAGAGATCATTGCAGTGCCCATTAGTTGTATTCCTCCCTCTACTTCAAACACTAATCAATCAGTGAATGAAATGCCTTCAACATCTAAACCTCTATCAGTCGCTAAATCTTTCACTGAGGCTCCTTTAGCAATTCTACCCATTGCTGAAGAATCTACAGCTGAAGCCTCATCTTCTGTTTTCGAACATCAATGCTCAGATGACAATCCTCTACTAGCTCAATGATAGACAAAAGACCATCCAATTTATCAAATTCTTGGTGATCCAATGCAGGTATTCAGACACGACGTGGTCTAGGTAATATCTATCTCTTTGTCAACTTCCTTTCTATAGTTGAACCCAAGAAAATCAATGATGTTATCTCAGACCCTAGCTGGGTCATTGTCATACAAGAGAAGCTCATTAAGTTTGATAAGAACAAAGTATGGTACCTTATCGCACGTCCGTCTGATAAAACTGTGATAGACACCAAATGGGTTTATTGCAATAAGTTAGATGAACAAGGTGTGGTAACCCGTAACAAGGCTCGTCTTGTTGCTCAGGGTTATAGATAAGAAGAAGGAACCGATTATGACGAAACCTTCGCATCAGTGGCTAGACTTGAAGCTATTCAACTCTTCCTAGCATTTGCTGCCCATAAAGACTTGAAAGTCTACCAAATGGATATAAATAAATGTATTTTTAAATAATTATATAATATATTTTTACAAGACAATGTAATTTTAATTATATTAAAGCGCGTTTTTAAAGTGTATTTGAGTGATCCAATTGTAAATTTTATAATATATTAAAAATATATATCATTAAAAAATTTAAAAAAAAATCTTATTTTTTAATGCCGAGACCGGTTGGGACCGGGACCGGCAGCTCATAACCGGTTATGAAGTACCTTGACCAGTCCTATCATTTTTGACCGGGACCGGTTATGAGAAAGCTTGAGACCGATTAGGCCCGGCCTGGCCCGGGAACCGGTTTTTGGCCCTCACTAGTTACAACCAATTAAATGGTAACTGTTGATGATCAAAATGGGCGTTCCTAATTTGGTTGTAAGAATGTAAAGGGTTGAATTATATTCTTTCCAATGATATTAATATCCTAACTTTTGTATCTGATATAAACATCTACATGTTGGATAAAATATCTTAAATAATGTCAACATTGTTATAATATCATCATGCTTAGCATTTATCTTAAAATTCATCGAAATAATTTTGGCGTCATTATAATATTGAAACAGGGGCGTTTACATACAGCTTCGTTGGCCTTTATTCATTTCAGTTATCATCTACAATCGGAACACTCTCACTCTTGAAGAAATTTGTATTACATTGAGTTTAAAGGAGAAAATGAAAGCGATTGTTGCCAATAATGAGCCAAAGGTCGGACAAATTGAATGCAACAGAAACATCATATGAAAAGGTTTAAGTCAAATTTTTGGAATTGACGGTAATGTCATTTTCTCACCATTGGTGAAACATACTTCCATATACACATTGGTGACAATAACATTTTTGAATAGTCAACTTGAGGAAGAGATTCCCATGTAGCAACCGGAAGGTTTTGTAGTTTCGGGTAATAAAGGAGGATGCTTCTAGAAGCTATTAAAGTCTCTATATGGCCTCAAACAATCCCACAGGCAATTGGATAAGAGATTCAATACATTTGACACCACACACGACATAAATAGATCTGCTTTTGATATATGTGTTTATTTCAAGAAGTTTGATGATGTATCGATGCTTTATTCTCTCTTATATATAGATGGCATTTACATGCTAGTTGTAGCTAAGTATATGGGAGAGGTTCAAATAGACATGAAGGAGGTAAGTGTACAAAGTTTTAAGGTACAAGGACTATTTAATATACTCAAATAAAACTAAATCCAAATCAACGGCGTTATGCCCCTACACCTCTGTCGTCGGTCACCTCCATTATCTTCTCCAACGACCGCCATCCTTCTCTTGCAACCCTTCCACCACCTATTTTTTCCGGCCATTTCCAGCGCCATCTCCAATATGAAAGCAATAAACCATATGATACTAAGATTATTGCATTTACATGGGTTTTCTTGAATTTTTTACACGGTTTTCTTATTTATAAGTGCGTAACATGAGGTTTAGTTGTCAACAATGGCTAAAATCAAACCCTAATTGTCATATATCAATCGGGAACTAAATATTTCGAACTTTCTAACGGTTTATTGTACCAAAATGTCGAAAACTATGATGTATGTATAATTACACAAAAAATTTCAGGGAAACATACAAAACTCAAACGACCAAAAATTAAACCTTGTTACCAATTTTGAGTTGGGTCTAAAGGGGAGGAAATGGGTTGAACACGAATCACTCACGGGGAGAGGAACGAGAGAGAAGGGGAGGCGAGAGGAGGCGGTTGTCATGTTGTCGGTGTCGAGGACAGGGAGAGGGGATGAAGATGGGGAAGTCACGTTGGGGTGCTTTAGTTAGGTTTTTGTTCATCCAATAAACGTTCTAACTTGTACATATACTTTATGATATCTTTTTAATAAAATATTATTAAAGTCTAAATAATAACTACAATATTTTATATTGTTCATATCTAATGGAGTAAATATGCTTTTGGTCCCAGTTGTATGTCAAAAAATTCAACTAATATATCTATACTCCATTAACTATGGATATAGTTCATGTCGTATTCACTTTCATGTCTATGGTCCCTTTCACTAATAGAGTTAACAATTTGTTAACACAATTAGATCATGATGCATTTAGGTCCTTTTACAACTTTTTTTTTTTTTTTTGTCTTTTTCTTATTGAAAAACTAAAAAATATACTATATAATATAATTTAATATCTTTTTTATATTATATTTATTATCATTATTATATATAAAGGAACATTTTTCAAATATATATTAATTTTCCGTGTTTTTTAAACGATAAACGTCCCCAAAGAAGAGTTAGATGAGATATAGATATTTAAAAACAACATTAAATTAATTTATTTGCCTTTTTTTATATAATTTTCAAAAAAAGAGAAACATGATTCTTTCTTCTATTACAAACATATAATACAAAGAAGGTAATTTAAATGTTTTTATAATGACTACAAATTAATTTTAGATAGTATAACATAAAAAATTTATTATATTACATTATAAGTCCAAGTCCTGGTCCCGGTCCCATTCCCATTTTGTGCATGACAAATGTGAAAGGGATGGACCAAAGAATTTTTGGATACGGTAACACCATATAAAACAGTTGCACCTTTCACGAACCTAATTTTTTTACCTTATCGTGGAAGAACAATATGTGGCACGTGCCACATAACCACCCCTCTAGGTCCGTCTATGGAAACAAGAATCTTTGTCATGTCCCATGTTATGCCAAACATGAAACTAGATTTTTGTCTTGTCATGTTTTATCTTATTAACCAAATGCTTTCAACCCTTATGACATCTACCGCTTATAACATTACATCCTCATCAAGCCGACGTGCCAATGACAACATGAAGAAAATCACATCATTCATGTCGATGGAACAACTATTTCGCTCAAATCATGAGAAAATACGCTATATGGAGTAGGCTAAATGTATCCCTCTATATTGCTAAATACATTTTTACCTACTAATACATCTCCTCACACGCATCAACATCAAGACTTTACTTTTTACATCTTTAATGCACCTGATTCTAACATAAATAGAAGTGCATATGACAACACCGATAATATATATCATCCAAATGAGTTATGGCCTCAAACCTAGGGTGTGTTAGGTACACGGGGACGGGACGGGAAGGAAATACAAAAAATTGTTGTCCCATATCATATTTAGTGCCACATTAAACTCCTGAGTGGGACAAAAAAATGCACTATTTCCGTCCCACCAAAATATGAAAAAGAAAGAAGTGTAAAATCTATAAATTGGAAATGGAAGGCATGGTGAAGAGTGGCTAAGGATCAACTACTTGAGAATGTAACATCAATTGCAAATGTTGATTTTAACACACTTATGTAAACTAAAACCCTCAATACCTCAAGCTTGCATTCGGCAAACAGCATCACGTCGAGTATTTATTTTTGGCACCTCTGTCGAGTTTCTTCGCATCCTCCTGACATATCATATGAGTCGAGATCAATTACATGGATCAATGCTTGAAAACTGATATATATATATATATATATATACACACACACACTTACGTGGAATATGAATCCTATTACGTCATTGTAATCAAGAAATTCCTTCCATTGTTTCCCAATGCTCATCTGCAAACAGCCTAACATCTTATTAACTGTATACACATTGACAGCAGTCGTGTGTTCGGCTTATCGTTACAAACAAACAATCATCTTATGTGCATTTATATTTGATTGTGATAGGACCCAAAACGAATTATAATGATTAAATAACCAAAAACTAACAAAACCGTAAACTACTAGAGAAATACTATATGAGTTTTCCTACCATCTAATGCCTGCCCTACCCAAAATAAGGAAACTACTTGAAATATTTAAAATACCAATTAAGTAGGATAAGATAGCAATTATCCTTTACTTTTTCCTAAATGCACCACTATATAGTATATATTACTAAATGCACCCTTACATATTGCTAATTGTACTTCTTCCTACTAATTTTTTCTCACATACATCAAGATCAAGATACATTTTTACATTTCTAAAGCATTAATTAACTGATTTGAATTGGGTGCATATAACAATACCCCACCAAGGATTGAAATAAAAAGTTGAGTACATTGGTAACTGCTTTAGAATCTACTACCTGGGCAGCCTCATTGGCAGCAGTTTTGGTCCAGAGAGCTATTTTTTCCTGCCTTAATCTGACATTTACGACCGCCCCACATATCTCATCCTCAAAATCAAACTGTTCTCCAATCATTGCTAGCAGCTTTCATATTAGAAAGAGGTTAATATATAGGGATAAGATTGTTAGCATAAATGGGTTTTAGCCTATTGGGCTTATTCTCTTGTTGGGCTTAGAAACCCTAGTTTCCTAGTCTATATATAGGCTTTATGTTTCTCTTGTAAACACACACATATATCATAATAAAACCCTAGCTACCAAGCTATCGGTTACTTTCTCATMTTTCTACATGGTATCAGAGCCATRTCGATCCACCCTTYGATTTGATTTGATGTTCATGGAAGGCTTCGTATTGTTCATCCGATTCTGGWTCGTATTTTTCAATTGTTTCGTTTTGTGCCGCTGATTCGTATTTGTCGTTCTACGTATTTGCTGCTTTGCATTCGATTGGTATTTTTTGATTGCGTTGTTCGTATTTTTTTTGGGTTTTCGTTGTTGTCCGCTGCCATGGGTTCTAGAGAGGATTCACTACAGTCCATTAGCACAACACTAGACGGAAAGAATTATAGTTACTGGAGTCATGTAATGAAGCATTTTCTGATTGGAAAACATGTGGGGGCATATCAGTGGCACTATTCGTAAACCTACTGATAATAAAGTGGAAAATTATATAACCTTGCTTGATACTTGGGAGACTAATAATTCAAAGATTATCACATGAAACCCTTTTCTGATTCCAATGCTTGCACCGCATTACCATTCGACATAGTGCATAGCGATTTATGGACCTCCCCGGTTCTCTCTTCTACCGGGTGTCGCTATTATGTCCTATTTTTAGATGATAAAACTAATTTTTTATGGACATATGCTCTCGCCTCCAAATCTCAAGTTTTTTCTAAATTTCTAGAATTTCATAAATTAATTAGCACCCAATTTCAAACAACCATAAAATGTTTCCAATGCGATAATGGACGTGAGTACAACAACACCTCATTTCATAATTTTTGCACCTCGAATGGCATGACATTCCGTTTTTCATGTCCATACACATCCGCTCAAAACGGTAAATCGGAGCGCAAAATACGGTCCATCAACAACATAATGCGAACCATTTTATCTCAATCCTCCGTTCCTCACAATTTTTGGCACCATGCTCTAGCACATGCAACCTATCTCTTAAATATCTTACCCACCAAAGTTCTTCACAACTCCACACCCATGTTTTGTCTTTACAATCGCCACCCATCATACGATCATTTACGCGTTTTCGGTTGCCTTTGTTACCCACTTCTCCCCTCTACTACCATCCATAAACTCGCGGACCGCTCAACTCCGTGCGTTTTCCTTGGCTACCCTTCAAATCACCGGGGCTACAAATGTTATAACATCAAAACCAAACAAATACACATCTCTCGCAACGTCGTCTTTGATGAAACCATCTTTCCTTTCGCCACTCAATCCTACACCCCCTCATCTTATGGATTTCTAACTTCTACTCCTTACCCATTTATTTGGTCCTCTTCTCCTACTCAAAACACTCCAACCCACGTTTCCACTTCTGCCTCCGACGCTACCCCACCCAATTCCCCACTCACAACCTCATCTCCTTCCACTAGTCAAACAACCAACTCAGCCCCATCCCCTACTACACCGCCTCATCGATCATCTTTTGTTTCTTTATTTCCTGGTTCTCCCATCTCGGTCTTATCTGCTAGTGCATCGTCTATGCAAGTAGAAGGAGTTGGTTCTGTTGTTACCCCCCAAGTCTCTCTTATTGATGTATATTACATTCCAGATCTTGCTTTAAACCTTGTTTCTGTTAGTCAGTTATGTAAATCTGGCTATTGGGTTTTCTTCTCTTACACTGTTTGTTATGTCTTTGACTCGCAGTTTCAGAAGGTGATTGGGATCGGCCGTAGGCTTGGGGAGCTTTATGTCGTTGAAGAACTCAATCTATCCGGTGTGGTAGCTTGCAGTGTGTTGATCTATCCTCTTTTCGTTTGAGTCATTCGTCTTCTGATTTTTATCTTTGGCATTCGCGTTTGGGTCACATATCAAGTCCTCGTTTACAATTTTTATCATCCACTGGTGTTTTGGGTCGTTTAAGTAGTCATGACATTTCAGATTGTAGTGGATGTAAACTTGCAAAATTTTCAGCTTTACATTTTACTAGAAGTGTTTCTTTTTCTTCTGCTCCTTTTAATCTTATACATTCTGATGTGTGGGGTCCCTCTCCTGTTGCTTCAAAGGGAGGCTCCTCTTACTATGTTTCTTTTATAGATGATTACACTCGTTACACTTGGGTTTATCTTATGAAACGAAGATCTGAATTCTTTTCTATTTTTAGTAATTTTCGAGCCCTTGTAAAAACTCAACATTCCGCTGTCATTAAGTGTTTTCGGTGTGACTTAGGTGGTGAATACACTTCTAATGATTTCACTAAGTTGCTTGCCTCTGATGGTACCATACACCAGTCATCATGTACCGACACACCGCAACAAAATGGTATCGCYGAACGGAAGCATCGACATTTGGTTGAAACCGYTCGCTCTCTGTTATTGTCCTCTGAGGTTCCTARTGTTTTCTGGGGGGAAGCTCKTCTAACCGCTACCCATGTAATTAATCGAATTCCGACCAAGCAAAATTCAGGCAAGTCACCTTTTGAAACTCTTTATGGACACCCACCAGATTACTCTTCTCTTCGTGTCTTTGGTTGTACTTGTTTTGTCCTTCGTCCACATGTTGAGAGGACCAAGTTGTCCCCTCGATCCGCCTTATGTGTATYTTTAGGGTATGGTACAGGACAAAAAGGATATCGTTGTTATGATCCGACAAGTCAAAAGCTCTATGTCTCSCGTCATGTTACTTTTCTAGAGCACATTCCCTTCTTTTCTATTCCTGCTCAAACTCCTAGTGTTACCCAGTCAGATCTTCGCAATATTGATCCTTTTAATCTTGACACCGATGATGACACTAATGATACAACTATCAACACCGATAATCATGAGCCTTCGACGGATCCAGCCCCCCCAACACCTACGACCGCTCCCTTACCAGATGAAACTACGACCGTGCCTCCTCCTCGTAAGTCCTCTCGCACTTGTAAGTCCACCAAACTTCCTGATTTCGCTTATTCTTCTTACTCACCTGCATTTGCTTCTTTTGTTTCCAATATACATCGTTTATCTGAGCCCACGTCCTATAGAGAGGCAGTTTCYRATCCCCATTGGCAGAATGCTATGGCTGAGGAACTGACTGCTCTTCACCAGACTCATACTTGGGATTTAGTGCCCCTCCCACAGGGAAAGCACACGGTTGGTTGTCGTTGGGTGTACAAAATCAAGACCAAAGCRGATGGGTCTATTGAGCGTTACAAGGCGAGACTCGTTGCAAAAGGGTACTCGCAACAGTATGGCATGGATTATGAGGAGACATTTGCACCGGTTGCAAAAATGACTACTGTT